AGAGTTTGCTGAAGTTGCTTATTAGCTTAGGGAGATTTTGGGCTGAGAAGATGGGGTTTTCAAAATATACAGTCATATCATCTGCAGAGACAATTTGAATTCCTCTTTTCCTAATTGGATACCTTTTATTTCTTTCTCTTGCCTAATTACCCTGGGCAGAACTTCCAATACTATGTTGAATGGGAGTGGTGAGAGAGGGCATCCTTGTCTTGTGCTGGTTTTCAAAGGGAATGCTTCCAGCTTTTGCCCATTCATTATGATATTGGCTGTTGAGTTTGTCATAAATAGCTCTTACTATTTTGAGATATGTTCCATCAATACCTAATTTATTCAGAGTTTTTAGCATGAAGGGCTGTTAAATTTTGTCAAAGGTGTTTTCTGCATCTATTGAGATAACCAGGTGGTTTTTGTCACTGGTTCTGTTTATGTGATCGATTATGTTTATTGATTTGTGTATGTTGAACCAGCCTTGCATCCCAGGGATGAAGCCGACTTGATTGAAGTGGATACGGTTTTTGATATGCTACTGGATTTGGTTTGCCAGCATTTTATTGAGGATTTTCCATCGGTGTCCATATTGGCCTGAAATTTTTCTTTTCTCCTGTGTCTCTGCCAGGTTTTGGTATCAGGATGATAAAATGAGTTAGGCCTCATAAAATGAGTTAGGGAGGAGTACCTCTTTTTCTGTTGTTTGGAATAGTTTCAGCAGGAATGGTACCAGCTCCTCTTTGTACCTTTGGTAGAATTCGTCTCTGAATCTGTCTGGTCCGGGACTTTTTTAAGTTGGTAGGCTATTAATTACTGCCTCAGTTTCAGACCTTGTTATTGGTCTATTCAGGGATTTGACTTCTACCTGATTTAGTCTTGGGAGGGTGTATGTGTCCATGAATTTATCCATTCCTTCTAGATTTTCTAGTTTATTTGTGTAGAGGTGTTTACAGTATTCTCTGATGGTGGTTTGTATTTCTGTGGGATCAGTGGTGATCTCCTCTTTATCATTTTTTATTTGTCTATTTGGTTTTATCTTTTCTTTATTAGTCTGGCTGGTGGTTTATCTATTATGTTGATCTTTTCAAAAAACACCTCCTGGATTGATAGATTTTTTTGAAGTGTTTTTTGGTGTCTCTTTATCTTTTTTAGTTCTGCTCTGATCTTAGTTATTTCTTGTCTTCTGCTAGCTTTTGAATTTGTTTCTTCTTGCTTCTCTAGTTCTTTTAATTGTGATGTTGGGGTGTTGATTTTAGATCTTTCCTGCTTTCTTTTGTGGGCATTTAGTGCTATAAATTTCCCTCTAAACACTGCTTTAGCTGTGTCCCAGAGATTCTGATGCATTGTATCTTTGTCTTTATTGGTTTGAAAGAATATCTTTATTTAGGTTTTAACTTTGTGATTTACCCAATAGTCTTTCAGGAGCAGGTTGTTCAGTTTCCATGTAGCTGTGCAGTTTTGAGTGAGTTTCTTCATCTTGAGTTCTCATTTGATTGCAGTGTGGTCTGAGAGACTGTGTTATGATTTTCGTTCTTTTACATTTGCCGAGGAGTGTTTTTCTTCCTGTTGCAGGTTGTTCAGTTTCCATGTAGCTGTGCAGTTTTGAGTGAGTTTCTTCATCCTGAGTTCTCATTTGATTGCAGTGTGGTCTGAGAGACTGTGTTATGATTTTCGTTCTTTTACATTTGCCGAGGAGTGTTTTTCTTCCTGTTGCAGGTTGTTCAGTTTCCATGTAGCTGTGCAGTTTTGAGTGAGTTTCTTCATCCTGAGTTCTCATTTGATTGCAGTGTGGTCTGAGAGACTGTGTGTTATGATTTTTGTTCTTTTACATTTGCCGAGGAGTGTTTTTCTTCCTGTTGCAGGTTGTTCAGTTTCCATGTAGCTGTGCAGTTTTGAGTGAGTTTCTTCATCCTGAGTTCTAATTTGGTTGCAGTGTGGTCTGAGAGACTGTGTGTTAGGATTTTCGTTCTTTTACATTTGCCGAGGAGTGTTTTTCTTCCTGTTGCACGGTCAGTTTTAGAATAAGCGTGGTGTGGTGCTGAGAAAAATGTATATTCTGTTCATTTGGGGTGGAGAGTTCTGTAGATGTTCTGTAGGCTCCCTTGGTCCAGAGCCGAGTTCAAGTCCTGGATATCCTTGTTAGTTTTCTGTCTCATTGATCTGTCTAATATTGACAGTGGGGTGTTAACGTCTCCCACTATTATTGTGTGGGAGTCTAAGTCTCTTTGTAGGTCTCTAAGAACTTGCTTTATGGATCTGGATGCTTCTGTATTAGGTGCATGTATATTTAGGATCGTTAGCTCTTCTTGTTGCATTGATCCCTTTACCATTAGGTAATGCCCTTCTTTGCCTAGGATTGCAACCTCTGCCTTTTTTTTTTGCTTTCATTTGCTTGGTAAATCTTTCTCTATCCCTTTATTTTGAGCCTATCTGTGTCTTTGCACGTGAAATGGGTCTCCTGAATACAGTACACTGATGGGTCTTGACTATATAATTTGACAGTCTGTCCCTTTTAAATGGAGCCTTTAGCCCATTTATATTTGAGGTTAATATTGTTAGGTATGAATTTGATCCTGTCATTATGATGCTAGCTGGTTATTTTGCCTGTTAGTTGATGCAGTTTCTGCATAGTGTCAATGGTCTTTTCGATTTGGTACGTTTTTGCAGTGGCTGGTACTGGTTGTTCCTTTCCATGTTTAGTGCTTCCCTTAGGATCTCTTGTAAGGCAGGCTTGGTGGTGACAAAGTCTCTCAGCATTTGCTTGTCTGGAAAAGATTTTATTTCTCCTTTGCATATGAAGCTGTGTTTAGCTGGATATGGAGTTCTGGGTTGAAAATTCTTTTCTTTAAGACTGTTGAATATTGGCCCCCATTCTTCTTGCTGGTAGGGTTTCTGCTGAGAGATCTGCCGTTAGTCTGATGGGCTTCTGTTTGTGGGTAACCTGACCTTTCTCTCTGGCTGCCCTTAACATTTTTTTCCTGCATTTCAACCTTGGTGAATCTGACAATTGTGTCTTGGGGTTGCTCTCCTCAAGGAGTATCTTTATGATGTTCTCTTTATTTCCTGAATTTGAATGTTGACCTATCTTGCTAGGTTGTGGAATTTCTCTTGGATAATACCCTGGAGAGTGTTTTCCAACTTGGTTCTATTCTCTCTGTCACTTTCAGGTACACCAGTCAAATGTAGATTTGATCTTTTCACATAGTCCCATATTTTTTGGAGGCTTTGTTCCGTTTCTTTTCACCCTTTTTTTTCTAACCTTGTCTTTTCACTTGATTTCATTGAGTTGATCTTCATTCTCTGATATTCTTTCTTTTGCTTGATCAATTTGGCTATTGATACTTGTGTATGCTTCATGAAGTTCTGATGCTGTGTTTTTCAGCTCCATCAGGTCATTTATGTTCTTCTCTAAACTGGTGTTTCTAGTTCACAATTCCTCTAACCTTTTTCAAGGTTCTTAGCTTCCTTGCATTGCATTGTAACATGCTCCTTTAGCTTGGCGGAGTTTGTTATTACCCACCTTCTGAAGCCTACTTCTGTCAATTTGTCAAACTCATTCTTCTTCCAGTTTTGTTCCCTTGCTAGTGAGGAGTTGTGATCCTTTGGAAGAGAAGAGGTGTTCTGGTTTTTGGAATTTTCAGCCTTTTTGCACTGGTTTCTCCCCATCTTTGTGGATTTGTCTACCTTTGGTCTTTGAAGTCAGTGCCCTTCGGGTGGGGACTCTGAGTGGACGTCCTTTTTGTTGATGTTAATACTATTCCTTTCTGTTTGTTAGTTTTCCTTCTAACAGGCTTCTCTGCTGCAGGGCTGCTGGAGTTTGCTAAAGGTCCACTCCAGTCCCTTTTGCCTAGGTGGAGGCTGCAGAACAGCAAGGATTGCTGCCTGTTTCTTCCTCTGGAAGCTTCATTCCAGAGGGGCACCTGCCAGATGCCAGCCAGAGCTCTCCTGTATGAGGTGTCTGCCAGCCCTTAGTGGGAGGTGTCTCCTAGTCAGGATACATGGGGGTCAGGGGCCCTCTTGATGAGACAGTCTGAGTCACAATGAGATGAGTGTTTCTACACTATTTCATACCCTTTTTTTTTCCTTGTCAGAATGGAGCCATTCCATATGTGTTATTCTGAAACCATTCTGTCTAATTGTGGCTCCACTATGATTTGATTAGCTTGTGTTCTGGTGTATGTACTCTGGCAGTGAGTCTATGTGATTTTCTTAGTGTGACTCCTAGGAAATTAACTAGATCTGATAAGACATGCTGCCAAGTTGCAGCCTGCATTATATTACCCCTTGGGCATAACATTCCCAGTCTCTGATTTCTTAAGGAATCACATAATAGTTTAATGCAATCTAAGAACTTTTCAGACTGCGGTGTACTGGAGCATACCAGGGAGCTGGCATGGTAACATTTGTTTTCAGATCCTGGCTGTCCAAGGGAACTGGATGGCTTGGGGCCAGTTGCTGGAACCCCTCTCAGCCTCTGTTTACTCTTTACAGATAGGGCAGCATTGCCTCTCAGGATCAGTGATACAGTGAAAGTGTTTTATAGACTGAAGAATGGGGCAGGTGCACTGGCTCACTCCTGTAATCCCAGGACTTCTGGACATCGAGTTGGGTGCATCACTTGAGGCTGGGAGTTTGAGATCTGCTTGGTAAACACGGCAAAACCCCGCCTCTACTAAAAATACCAAAATTAGCCAGACTTGGTGGCATGCACCTGTAATCCCAGCTACTCAGGAGGTTGAGGCACAAGAATCTCTTGAACACAAGAGGCAGAGGTTGTAGTGAACCAAGATTATGCCAGTGCACTCCAGCCTGGGGTGCATTTTATAAACTGAAAAGGGCTGTATGCGTTTATCTTGCTGGATATATTTCTAAGCTTCATCTGGGAGAGTTACTGTATTTTTCTTCAAGAATATAAGGCCCATATTTTGAAAATAACTTGGAAAATAGTTCTTAAAAATGGTGACTTTTACAGAGTATCTTGCTTTTAACAATTTACTTTTTTCTCTTTGCAGGCAATTGTTCTCTTAACTGAATTAATTAGGGAAAACTTCAGGAACAGCAAATTAAAACAGTGCCTTTTACCAACCCTCGGGGAGCTGATCTATCTTGTAGCCACCCAGGTGAGACTGTCTGATTAACTCTATTGCTGTTTGACATGTTCTGACATACTCTGGCTGACAAGTATTAATATCCTATAAAAGATTTTTGACTTTGCCCCTTAGAGCATGCCTAAGGAATTTAGGAGAAATTTTACCTCTTGGGGAAGAATTTCTCAATGTTTCTCGGTTTCTTTCTATCTTACCCTGTCCCTCTCCTTCCCTCCCTCTCAGTGCCTCTTTTCCTGTAAAATGTAGATTTGAAGACTGTATTTTAAAAACCAATGGGCTGAAAATCTCTATGGTACTCCCCAGGTTGCTGCCATCTTTGACTCCTTCAGGCAAGAGGAGACCATTGGTTCTTTCCAAAGAAAGTTCCATTTCAGCTTAAATAAAATACAACTTTGTGCAAATAAAGCTTTTAACATGACTATGGGCATTTGTGAAGGCAGAATTTGACTTCTCATATCTAAAGTCACGATATGGAAGTGCTACTGAATTCAACAAGGCAAAATTTAATATTTCTTTAATGTGTGTGTGTGTGTTTTTTAAGTATTATGGAATAGATAGTGATAAATTATGGATTAGTCATTTCGTGTCTTACTCTTAGAGTTTAAAATAAATACTGGTAAGTTATAAGCAATTAAGGAAGTTCTGTCATTGCGTTTCTTTGTTTGTTTGTTTGTTTGTTTGTTTGGAGACAGGGTCTCACTGTTTTCCGGGCTGTAGTGCGGTAGCATGATCGCGGCTCGTGGCAGCCTCCACCTCCTGGGCTCAGGTCATCTTCCCACCTCAGCCTCCTGGGTGGCTGGGACTACAGGTGTGCACCTCTGTATGCCTGACTAATCTTTTTTTGTTCATTTTGTGAAGAAGGGGTTTTGCCATGTTGCCCAGGCTGGTCTTGAATTCCTGGGCTCAAATGATTTGCCCACCTTGGCCTCCCAAAGTGCTGGGGTTACAGGTGTGAGCCATTATACCCGACTGTCATTGTATTTCTTGAGTTTTGGTTCTAGAACTTGCTCCGGTGTTTCATAACCTCAATATTGTTAGTATCTAAATTAAACCGACTTTCCGAACAATCACCACTTTAAGGCAGTTTCCACGATTGTCATAAAACATCAGTATTTTAACTTGTTTAACTCCATAATGAGTCCTGATACCTGACGCAGCAGGTCTCTCCTCTTTATTCTTTCCTTTTCTGAGTGTCTTGGCTATTCCTGGCCCTTCGTGAATCAGCTTGTTCAGTTCTGCAGAACTTCTGTTGTTAAAAACTATACTGATTACGCAGATAAATTTGAGGAGAACTAATATTGTTATGATTTTGAATCTTCCGAATCACGTTTGGAATTGTCCTGAATCTTTGTATTGATTGGGAATTATTGCTATCTTTATGGTGTTTATGTAGTCCTCCAGTGCACAAAAGTAGTATTTCCATATAGTAATGTATTGAAAAATTTATTACAGTTCGTTTCTTCTTTACAGAATGGCTTTGTACATCTTTCTTTGGTTGAATTTATTCTCAGGTAATTTTGTATTTCAAAGGGACAAGATATTCACGAACCTGGAACACTAGAAAGTGAAGAAAGGTGTATGGTGAGAAGCCTTTCTATAGCTTTGTATCCGATCTGTCTAGTTCCCCAATAAATATTATAATTATATGTAATGTAATATCAATAATATAAAATATAATTTCTTCTATTTACCGAATTAATTTTGTACCTATGTACATAAATCCAGATGTAGATTTTGTATCATTTTATGCAGCAGGTAGAAACACTTTTTCACTCAGTAGTTATACACTATAAAGAACAGTATGTGGAGCAACATAGTATTGGAAGTTCTGGCTGGGGCAATCAGGCAAGAGAAAGAAATAAAGGGCATTTAAATAGGACGAGAGGAAGTGAAATTGTCTCTGTTTGCAGATGACCTGGTTCTATATTTAGAAGACTCGCTTATCTGAGCCCAAAAGCTCCTTAAGCTGATAAACTATTTTAGCAAAGTGTCAGAATACAAAATCAGTGTGCAAAACTCACAAGCGTTCTTATTCACCAACACTAGACAAGCAGAGAGCCAAATTGTGAATGAACTGCCATTGACAGTTGCTATCAAGAGACTAAAATGCCTAGGAATATAGCTTACAAGTTGGGGGCACCGAGATGGCCGTGGGAAGGCTACACTGGGATGCAGCTCCCGGCGAATGAGACACAGAGGGTAGGGGACTTCACGATTCCAAATGAGGTGCAGGGTGCATTTCAGGGGGACCGACGGGGCACGGAAAATAGCCCAGGGAAGATGCCGCAGGGCGATAGCCGCCTAGGGGGGCAAATCAGGACGGGGAGTGGGGGTGCGTCCCCACCGGAAACGTGCAGCCGGTTCGGAGGGTCGGGGAGCTTAACCCCCTGGGTGCTTTGTTTCAGATCCTGTGCTTACCTCAGCCCTCCTACCACCCACAGTCCATGAGAGCCCTGCCAGACTGTGGGGCGCCATGGGCAGTGATGCACATCTGAGCAGCGGCCCCAGTCGGCCGCGGCAAGTTGTCACACGGACCTGGGTGGACCTGAGTTTGGACCAGCGCCAGCGGGACCCACTGTCCCACAGAGGGAGGCAGCACTGAGAGCAGGGAAACAGACCATAAGGCCTGGTAGGCCGCCCCCCCCGCCGACAGGGCTCAAATGGAAGCCCGCGTGCCAGAGGGCGTGGCAGCGAATACATCAACTTGACCCCACCCAGGCAGATAGAGCTCTGGAGAGACGCCATTGGGAAGGCAGGACCACTCTCACCTGCAAACAAACCCCAGGGAAGCACCACCTACCCAGCAACCTGACTTGAACCCGGGAGCCCAGCAATGCTCTCTACAGGCCAAAAAACATACAGCTCCAGCCTCAACAGAAAAAACGTCCAGAGACTCCTCCTGAAATCACCAACTTCGAAGATCAAAGGGAGATAAATCCATGAAGACGGAAAAAACCAGCACAAAAAGGATGAAACCACCAAAGAACAGAACACCTCCTCTCCTCCCAGGGATCACAACTCCTCACCATCAAGGGAACAACAACAACAACAAAAAAAAATGAATCTGACGAATTGACAGAAGCAGGCTTCAGAAGGTGGGTAATAACAAACTTCTCTGAGTTGAAACACCATGTTCTAACCCAATGCAAAGAAACTAAGAACCTTGAAAAAAGGTTAGACGAAATGGTAACTAGAATAACCAGCTTAGGGGTGAACATAAACAACTTGATGGAGCTGAAAAACACAGCACAAGAACTTTGCCAGGCATACACAAATTTCAGCAGCCGAATCAATCAGGCAGAAGAAAGGATATCAGAGATACAAGATCAAATCAATGAAATAAAACAAAGGAAAGATTAGAGAAAAAAGACTGGAAAGAAATGAACAAAGCCTCTAAGAAGTATGGGATTAGGTGAAATAACCTAATTTACACTTGATTGGCATGAATGTGACGGGGGAGAATGAATCCAAGTTGGAAAACACTCTTCAAGATATTATCCAAGGAAACTTTCCCAACCTAACAAGGCAGGCCAACATTCAAATCAGGAAATACAGACAACAACACCACAAAGATATTCCTCAAGAAGAGCAACCCCAAGGCACATAATTGTCAGATTCACCAGAGTTGAAATGAAGGAAAAAATGCTAAGGGCAGCCAGAGAGAAAGGTCAAGTCCCCCACAAAGGAAAGACCATCAGACTCACAGTGGATCTCTCAGCAGAAACCGTGCAAGCTAGAAGGGGGTGGGGGGCCAATATTCAACATTCTTAAAAAAAAAAACTTGCAACCTAGAATTTCATATCCAGCCAAACTAAGCCTCATAAGTGAAGGAGAAATAAAATCCTTTATGGACAAGCAATTGCTGAGAGATTTTGTCACTACAAGAGCTGCCTTACAGAACTACTGAAGGAAGTACTAAACAGGGAAAGGAACAGCCAGTACCAGCCACTGCAAAAATGTACTAAATGGTAAAGAACAACGACACAATGAAGAACCACATCAACTAACAGGCAAAACAACCAGCCAGGAACAAAATGGCAGGATCAAATTCAAATATAACAATATTAACATTGAATGTAAATGGCCTAAATGCCCAATCAAAAGACACAGACTGGCAAACTGGATAAAAAGTTAAGACCCATCAGTGTGCTATATACAGGTGACCCATCTCACATCCAAAGACTCACATAGACTCAAAATAAAGGGATGGAAGAAGATTTACCCAGTAAATGGAGAGCAAAAAAAAGTAGGGGTAGCAATCCTAGTCTCTAATAAAACAGACTTTAAACCAACAAAGATCAAAAGAAACAAAGAAAGGCATTACATAATGGTAAAAGGATCAATGCAACAAGAAGAGCTAACTATCCTAAATATATACACACCCAATGCAGGAGCACCCAGATACATAAAGCAAGTTCTTAGAGACCTGCAAAGAGACTTAGACTCCCGCACAATAATAGTGGAAGACTTTAACACTCCACTGACAATATTGAACAGATCAACGAGACACAGAAAGCCAACAAGGATATCTAGGACTTGGATGCAGATTAGGACCAAGTGGACCTAACAGACATTTACAGGACACTCCACACCAGATCCACAGAATACACATTCTTCTCAGCACCACATCACACTTACTCTAAAATTGACCATATAATTGGAAGTAAATCACTCATTCAGCAAATGCAAAAGAACAGAAATTTTAACAGTCTCTCACACCACAGTGCAATCAAATTAGAACTCAGGATTAAGAAAAGCACTCAAAACTGCATAATCACATGGAAACGGAACAACTTGCTCCTGAATGACGAATGGATAAACAATGAAATGAAGGCAGAAATAGAAATGTTCTTCAAAACCAATGAGAATGAAGACACAAGGTACCAGAATCTCTGGGACACATTTAAAGCAGTGTCTAGATGGAAATTTATAGCAATAAATGCCCATATGAGAAACAAGGAAAGATCTAGAATTGACACCCTATCATCAAAATTGAAAGAGCTAGAGAATCA